ACTATATATATATATATATTGGTTTATTAATATAAATATATGTGGATTGCTATATGTTGTTATGTTTGATCTATATGATGATGATGTGAATACGTGTGTAGAAATATATATATATATAGATAAGTCCGTGAGTATAAATGTATATGGTTTGTGGTTAGATTGAAATTGTTGAGTATGATTGAAATTGGAATGAAAATAGGCTAAGTGTGCTACAGAGGCATTCTTGCTGTAACGAGAAGACCCTGGATGAGAGGACTGCATCTGTTGCGTTCTCAATACAGCGATAAAGCAGAGGAAAGGTGTTTTCTGGGTACAGTCTCGTTGTAGCGAGATTCTTTAAAAAGCGAGATTTTGCAGAAACCAGAGTGCAGTTTCCTTTGAGATTTTTGTTATAGCGAAAGGGATGGCTCACGACTTAGGGAGTATTTGAGGGGTTTAGGGCTCGGGGAACTTTATTTCCTACCCTTTCACTCATCTCTCTTTGGATTTTCTCTGTCATCAACTCATTTTTACAAATTAAATTACCTCTAAATTCATTTGGGAACTAGATTGAAGGTTGAAATCACGTTTGGAGTGTTTGGAGGTAAGTTTGAGTTAGGGTTTTCGATTTTCGTCCCTCTTCCTTATTCTTTTGATTTCTCATAGAGTTTTTCATGTGTTTATGATGAAATTTGTTTGGGGAGCACGTTTGTCGTCAATTTTGTGTTTGCGTCTTCGATTTGATGTAAGGGAGACTCTACCCTATCTCATTGTGTTCAAATTCATTATTTTGCTATGTGTTGTAATGTGAATGGTTAGAAATATGTGTGTCTTAATCGAATTGATTTGATTGTAGTGAGATTGTGATGGAAAGGTTGTGTAGAATATAGTGTGTTGGATGGTGGCTATTGTGTGGATGAAATGGTGATGAAATTGGATGTTTGAGTGTAATTTGATTGAATATGGCATACGTGCCATGTGTGAAAGTGAACATTAGGATGTGATTGAAAATGTGGGTAATTGTTTGTGATTGCATGCCATTTGTTAATGAGGAATTATATGAAATGGTTGAATATGTATGGAAAGGGCATGTCGATTGTGATTGTGATTGTGGTTGTGTTTTGAAATGTTGAAAAATTATGAATGGTTCAGTGATACACTAGGAGTGTGGAAGATGGGGTGGCCTTGGGAATAGAAGGTGGTGGTGATACCAACAGTGAGTATAGGTGCACCACAGGCCACACACTCTCCACCTAACTCGGCCTCTGGCTAACACCTTTGCTTGATGAGCGTAGTACCGCACACGTTGTATCCGTGGAGCGGGAGCTATCTGGCGACCATCCATGGTATGAACTGAGTAAGTCCCTGAGGTTGAGGGCATTAGGAATTTGTGATCATAGTGCTATAGTGAGCGTGACTACGTGCAGTGAGTACACATGTGATTGTGAAATGATTGAGAGTGCAGTGAGCATACCCGTGTGTGAATTGTTTGGTGGTGCAATGAGCACACTTGTGTATGAATGAGAATGAAATATTTAAATGATTGCCTGGTGTTTGTCGATGAATGAAATGAATTATGTTAGAAATGTGTGGAAGCATGTCAGGTGAGACTCTATGCTTGTGTGTGTTTGATAATGTAGAGTACTCACCTTACGTTTATTTTTCAGGTGATCAAGATGATTAACATCGGACTCAGTGAACGGGAGGGATGGAATTGCTATAGGACTTAGAAACTATTTATGAAAATTTGATGTATTTAATTTGGTCCTGTAGCACTTGTTTGATGCAAACTTGTAATCCTCTCTTATTTTGGAAATACTTTATTGAACCATGGATTGGAAACCCTTTTTGTGAAAATTTTTATTATTCCCGTCTTGGTAAAATTTATTTATTTATTTATTTCAGAAATTAAATTAAGGTGTTACATCCCTCCTTCTAGTTTACAAATAATGCAACCTATTCGTGAAGAAGCAACAAATGGAGAGTCAGAATCATAGTCAGAATGAAATATTTAATGTTTGTTACCTTATATTACTTGACATATCTTTTTCTATATGAGTTAAAGACTTATGTAGTGTGTATGCAATTAAAGACTTTAACAATTTGTATTGTGTTTTAGAGACTTTTTTATGTATTATTGTGTATGGTAAAAATGTCCCTATGTTTATGAAAAATAATGATTATTATTGATGATATATCTCTTTCTATCAGGTTCAATTATGATTAATCAGTTTACACATTTTAAAATTAACATATTATTATTAACCAATTTTGACACTAAAAATCAGTCTCTATATCAATTTTGAAATCGGTTGTTAAATCAGTCTTTAAAATCTGTCACTAAATAAGTCTCGTCTCTAAATTAGTCTTTAAAGTCAGTCACTAAATCGATCTTAAAGGTTAGTCACTAAATTCGTCTCAAAGTGCATCACTAACTTCGTCACAGAATTAGTCTCTAAATCGGTTGCTAAAGTTTGTCACTACTTCAGTTTATAAAATCTGTCACTAATTCAGTCTCTAATTTTAGTCACTAGTTCGATCTCTAATTTTAATCACTAAGTCGATCTCTAATTTTTGTCACTAATTCAGTCTCTAGTTTTAGTAACTAATTCGATCTCTAATTTCAGTCACTAATTCGGTCTCTAAATTATTGCTAAATCCATTGTTAACCATTAGCCATCATATATTTAGCGACTCAACAATATCAGTCCAAAAATTGATCATTAATTAGTTTAGCAACCAAATTTTTTTTATTAATGACTGAAAAATTAGTCGCAAATAACTATTTTTCTTGTAGTGAATTTGGCGTGGTTGATGAATACTTCTCGAATTGCCTATTGTTCATCTTGAAATAACCCAGCTACTAAGTAAGTGATCTAATCAAGGCCTTCTTCATAACTAAAAAGTTTTTTTTTCTTCATTAGGCTTGATGGAAATTGTTACGTGAAACTCAGCAAAACCAGGAAAAAAAACAATTCTAAAAGCCAGATGCCCTGGACATCCATAATGAAGAAAATTATATTGAAGGTCAAGCTTGTTTTTTTATCAAGCCTTGTTTTACCATCTCAATTTAAGGAATGAATGAATATTGTTTTACAGTTCCAACTTATTTTGTCTATGGTTTTTTTTTCCTTTTGCCGGTTTTTCTGTCTGCAATTCATCCTCTGATTTTTTGCTATCTAATTGAAGTTTCTAGAAATTTTCTTTTTCTTTCTTTTTATTTTATTATTATTTTTAGTGATTTATAATTATTTCTGTGCATTTTTTTAAAGATAAAATATCAAGTTTATTGAATTGTTGTGCCTTAAGACTGCTGTGATGACCGGCTCTCTCTTTTATTTTAAGATTAAATTAAGTGCCGGTGGTTGGCAATTGAGTTATATTAGCGTTTTCTGTTCTGTAGGATGAACTTGTGGTTGACCTTGGCCTTTTGAGAAATGAGATGTATAGATTAACAACTGGATTGGTTGTCGCCGTATTCAAAGTGAAACAAATAGTTGATTTCTCTTTGAAAAAGAGAAGAGGGACAAAAATATAAGGTAGAAGTGGGGGATCATGTGTTTCCTCATTTTCCCTGTATAACTCTCGGTAAAAGTCAGTTTATCGATATAAAATTCTTGGGAAGAAGTTGAGTTAGAGTAAATTTCCTATTATTTTGTGTTCCCTTCGTTTTCTGAGTATGAACCTTGAAATTATTTAAATATTTGTTTGATTGAAACAGTATTTTGACAATTTTCTATTTATGCATTATCCATATATAGAATAAATCTGCATTTCGGACAAAATCATATGCAATATGAATTATTAATGGTTCCATTAACGTAACTGTAAAAATTTACTATATACCGAAAGGCCAGAAGCTGTTGACCCAAAAGAGCCAATAGATGGAAACTTGAGTAAATTTAAAATGGTATTTGACTAAATTTAAAACATAGATATTTTTACTTCTATTTACATATTTAACGAGAGACTTAAAAATTTGAAGGTATGAACAACGTTAAAAATATAATATACTACCGTTAAAAGTGTACATATATTCTCTTTTATTTTATTTTTCTATAACATATGTTGTAAAATTTGGTTACACGAGTATAATTTTCCATGAGAGTGTGCTGTATTGGATGTGCGTTGCGTATACAATTTTAATGTCACGCGCGACATAACTCTCCTAATGCGATTGTTTCTCAAAAGGTAACCTTCCATTGGCAGTTAGTATCATGAAAAACTAGCAAATAGCATCGATAAAAGAAAAAGAATCCAGCTAGGCTCGCTGGTGAAACCAAGAACAAGTAGAAGACTACAAAAACCGACTTTATTTTTACTATTTTTATTTTCATAAAAAAAGTGCCATTCTACAGAGTGAAGAGCGTGCGGTCTCTCTTCTAGACTGTATCTATATGACTGCATGTGCAAAGCGTATAATTATACGACAACTTGGACTCTCGCAACCATATCCAATCCAGTCAAGCGACGCGTATTCTACACTCTCCACAACTGTCTAATGAGCTTCCAACAAAGAGAAAGAATTCCCAAATTAAAAAAAGAAAAAATAAATATATATATATATCAGATTTGGCGGGATAATATTTACCGTAAACACTGTATTTTGAAATTATAAAAATTGTTAAAAGTACAGCGATGACATAACCTTTAAGTAGTGTTTCTAAAATTGTGATAGCAGGCAATCATAAAATTGTCTGATCGCATTGAATTCAAGCTTTGGAACCAATAGAAAAGAGAAGGAACGTTAATGGACCCCACCTATCAAATTGATTTCGGCATTTTCTCAGGGATGCTCCGGCAACACAGTAAATGCTCCTCTGTCTCCGTACAGACTACAAAACCGAATAAAAAAAGAAGGCTTCGTCCTTGGCATGAAAACCTCGGACACATCGCACCCTCCTCATTCATGCCTTTTCCTGATCCCATTCCCACCCTCTTAAGCAAAACCTTACCTTTTGAATTGCTATCTATCAACACCTGCTACGTTATCTAATATTCTTCTCAGAAAACAATTAACCATGCGGATCCAGTCGTGGCTAGAAACATGCTCCTCCGCCACCGCCACTCACAAATCAACCATCTCACTCCCCAAGCTTCGATCCCCACACAAACAACAACATGCATCTGAATCAAGCGTGTCCGAAGCACCCACTTCCACTTCCTCTCTCCAAACCAACCCCTCCATACAAACCCTCCCATCAGTTCCTTCTCTCCAAAACCTCTCTCCACAAACCCTCAACACCTCCGTCACCCATCAATGCCTCACCTCCCTCACACCCCACCCCTCTCGCCCCGTCACCTCCCTCGCCGTTCACAACAACCTCCTCTATGCCGCCACCGAGCACCAAATCACCGTCTATGATCGTTACACCTGCGCCAATCTCCACACCTTCGACACTCCCTCTGGCTCTACCAAGACCATCGCCTTCTCCCAAAACATGATCTTCACCACGCACCAAGACTGCAAGATCCGCGTCTGGCATAACCACAAGAACCACCGCATGTTAACCACTCTCCCCACTGTCAACGATCGTCTGCGCCGTTTCCTCCTCCCCAAAAACTACGTCACCGTCCGTCGCCACGATAAAAGGCTGTGGATTGAGCACGCAGACGCCGTCACGGGCCTCGCCGTCACTAACGGCGTCATCTACTCCGTTTCGTGGGACAAGACACTCAAGATATGGCGGGTTTCTGATCTTCGCTGTGTGGAGTCCGTGAAAGCTCACGAGGACGCGGTGAACGCGGTCGCAGTGTCCAACGATGGAACCGTGTACACCGGATCCGCGGACAGTAGAATACGGGTTTGGGCGAAACACGTGGGAGAGAAGCGGCACGTGCTGGTGGCGACGTTGGAGAAGCATAAGTCGGCAGTGAATGCGCTGGCCTTAAACGACGACGGTTCGGTGCTGTTTTCGGGATCGTGTGACCGTTCCATATTGGTGTGGGAGAGGGAGGACAGTGCGAATCATATGGTGGTTAGTGGGGCTCTGAGGGGGCACCAGAAGGCGATACTGTGTTTGATCAACGTTTGTGATTTGCTTCTGAGCGGATCAGCTGATCGGACAGTCAGGATTTGGAAGCGCACTTATGATGGACGGTTCTCCTGCCTTGCTGTCCTCCACGGTCACCGGAAACCGGTGAAGTCCTTGGCGGCAATTCCAGAGTATGGTCAAACTTCCCCTAACGGCACCGTTTCAGTTTTCAGTGGGTCTCTTGATGGAGAGATAAAGGTTTGGCAGGTTTCTATTACCAGTCAGTCACATGATCCATCCAGAACTGAATTGCTAGAAGCGAATACAAATCGAAGGGAAAAACAATGAACACTAATTGTACTCACTATTTTTTTGTTAACGAAAAACCATGTATATGATGATGACTTCTGCCTTTATTTTTCTGATATTGGCAAGGCTATAAAATCATAATCCATTCATTTTCTGGTTGAAATTGTGGAAGTGATATGTGTAATCAATTGCACCTATGTTTCTTTCTTCTTTTTTCTTCAACTTAGTTAATCTTGAAAATGTAAAATATTAAGAATATTTCTAATTTGTAAGAAGACTCGAGTAACTTTTTTACTTTCGATGAGTTGTAATAAAGAGTACATAGTTACACGATTTTATTCTAAACTTGCTTAAGATAATTTAAGTTTAAACTGAAACATTCTACTCGCCGTTATTGTTAGATTTAGCCAATATTAAAATCTTAATATGGTGCTATATACAAAATAAAAACGAAGATTCAACAAAAAAAAAAAGAAGATTAAACAAACATAATACAGTTAGATATGTGGCTCTAAAAAAATGCTTTAGAAAAATAATCACAACTCAGTCAACAAAAGAAAAATATTTAAAATTACAAGTTGAGAAGATTAAAAAAGTGCAAGTTTCAACTAATTCAAAATTAATTAAATCTAAGGGAAGGTGTTACTATGTAAAGCTCACGTTAATGAATTAACAATATATATAAGGACATATTAAATACTTTTACTTTAATTTTGTTTATACATATTTTAGAAAAGTGAATCTCTTAAATTTAAGTCTAAACACTGCACACATAACCTCCGCCCTAACTTGCTATTATTATAGTTCAGAAAGCAATACTATTGCTAGCTTTGAAATTCTATTTATTGAGAAAGAATGGTTGTAGCTTTTTTTTCTTTTCACATACTTGCTTATTAAGACTTCTCGTGCCGGTTTTGACTAATTTAAACATTTATTTTGTCGTCTTATGCGTGTAGTTTATTCATATTTCAACTGCATTATTCTCTATTTATTGTATTTTATAAGTTCATAAATAAGTTTAAATTAAATTTTTTTCTCATCCAAAAGATTTGTTTACAAAATTAGTAATGTTATCTTTATATTATCAGTTATTTTAAATGTACTACTACCACTACTATCATTTTTTTTTCTTGTTTAATAAATAAATTATTAACATTCATTTATAAAACTTAGAGAGTATTTTCTCATAAAATAATATACAAATAAAAAAATTCGACCTCAATTATTTTTAGTCAGTCTCTTTTTTTTTTTTTTTCAAACAAGAGAGGATTGATTACTCATATTTTATTGCTCGTTGTGTGTAAATCTGTTGGTCAAGCAAGGGTTTGTTATTTTTTTTGTCAACGTGGTTAGAATTTCTTAAAGAATAGTGTTAATATGATTTTATTTCTTTTAAAGCCCATTTCGATGGACCCAAAAGAAAAAAAGCCCATTTGCTTATCTGTTTCATTTATAAAAGCAGAGGCAAAGCCCCTAGTAAGTCCGATAACGGGATAAACCCTAGCGCCGCTGGGCCAGGGGGAGGTTCATCCGAGTCTCTGTTTCGAAGGCGCTTGGAATTTCAAGTATGTCTTTCCCTTCAATCGTTACTCCTATTTTCTTCAACAATCTGTTTTGCAATTTTCGCTTTCGATAGGCGTTGCGTTCTTCGTCAGTTGAAAATGCCGAAGGACGCGTCAACGGAAGCGTATAATTATTTCAATGTCGACCTCTTTTATATAACACCTACGCATTATTACCATCGTAGTCTGTTCAATGGTCGCGTTGTGCCATTCCTTCCATAGTTTTTTTTTTTTTTCAATTTAGTTTTTGAATGGTTGCTTCTTCTGGTGAGCTCTCCCTTATTATTTCCAGTGGGGAATGTTCATGTTTCCGAAGCATATATAAATAAATTCATCTCGAATAACCAGTTTTAAACAGCATGGTGTAATCTTCTCTAAGTTACACTACGCTACCTGTCTCCTGGTACAATTAATTTCATAGTTCTATTTTCAAGTTCAATTTATGCACCATAAAAGGATTAAATAAACGAACAATGATATTAATTAAAATTCAGTAACAGGAATTGTTGATTTTTAATAAAACCTAATGCCATGTTATTGACCTGCAGTTAAGTGAAATTTGGTCGAAATGGAACTGCCTAAAGTGACAATACCCAACCCTGTGCCTAAACCATCGCAGAAAAGGAAGCTTCCAACGGCGAAAGAGTTGATATCGCACTACGAGTCCCAGGGTATGGACTCGCAAGAAGCTTCGATGAAGGTCATCGAAGATCTTCAAAAGGCGCTGTTTGGAGTGATATCCTCTGGAAGAGGTAAAAAAGACAAGCTATTAACCGAGTCTTCTAGAAAAGTTGACGCAGTCAATAATAGACTCACTGTTCTTGACATGAAGCTTGATTCCAAGCCTGGTTATGTTGAGACTTTTGCCATTGGTCTTGTTTCTGGCGCTACTCTCAAAGGAATTGGGGCTCTCGTGCCTCATATTCTTTCCCCTGTTGCTCAGATTTGGAACTCTGTCTCCGCAGCCACTAAATCCTCTCCTCAATGATGTTTTAATTTCTCAATGTATAATTATTGTTGTACAATATTTTTCAATGAAAAAAAACTATGCTACCATTTTTTGTCTACAATTTCTGTTCCCAGACATGGATGTCACAGAAAGTAAGAGAGATAGAACTTAAAGAAATTCAATATAGAAAGACTTTACAATCAATATCAATATAAACATATTACCACTTGAACTGTCATATTACTTTTTGAAAATTAAAATTACACGTTACTACCAATGATTGATTGTTAGATTAAGCCTACGACTTGATTAAATGACAATCCTCAATACTTTGGATTGCACCAAGTATGGTCTCACTCGTTGCAGCAACGGTACATATAAAACTTCTCCATTGGACGGCTACATTCAGCGCAGACCACTTTGTCTGGGGTGCTGCCGTCTATTCCTGGGAGAATCAAGCGATTGCAGTGGTGTGGTGTTTGGAGTCCTTGTATATAATCATCCATTGCTTGCAAAACCCCTTTTTCTTTTGCTGGTTCCTTCCACTGGTCATATTCATAAAGGCACCTTAGAAATGCCTCTCCTTTTCCCTGTGCCATCTTTTCTGTGCCGTGGCTGATCACAGCCCACCCTTGATCACTGCTATCGTAGCTAAGGATTCTCGTGATTTCATGCATTATGTGGTCATTCAATACTGTTTTGCTCTGTTTTAGTTTGGAGTGCCACATGCTCTCCAGCCTAACCCAGAAGAACCAAATTAAGGCGAGGTCAGGAAGTACGTTGCTAAGTCTTTCTTCTTGTATTGCCTTAATGATTTTTCCAACTTTCTCCCCTGGATTGCTTTTGCCCACATAGATAATCTCTACTGGTAGTTGCAGAGCTCCTGCCATTGAATGTGATGTTCTTGTGAATTTGCGGATCCACTCCATATCGCCCCCTCCGTACAAGCATATGTATTTTCCTTCTGATACCTGAACCAATTAGATTGATACGCTAATCTCAAATTCGTCCACTCATGTATCTGTATTTCTATTCTCACTCCAAGATGTTAATTGTTACTAATTCTTGTCCATTTTTTTGTTGTTGATCAAATTAATAATTAAGGTACTTATTTCTTTTTAAAAAATAAGAATGACAATAAACACATGAATATGGATGATAGACACTTTTAAAATAAGGTAGCAAATTAGTCATTAAATTAAACATAGAATTTGTTTAAATATACTTCAAATTTGTCTTCAATTTTATTTGATGTGTGTTTGTATAAGATTGACAAATATGTCATTGTAAAATTTGAAGAATACCATTCATGCATGAACATATAATTTTCAGTTCGAACATGATACATGATATAGCTGGATGTCATTGAATATCTGAGAGAGTCATTAGATCAAATAAAGGGAATCTTTAACTTTTAACTATTTTACTAGTGTTTTCATTTCTTATATGATATCTTAACTACCATTTCTATTTAGATTGAAAACTACTACTGCATAGTATATACACGGGAAGTCAGATAAATCTCACACTGCAGGGCCTGTGAATAATCAGAGTATCCATTCCAATTTTAGTGTTGCTTTCTATGTGATCTTTCCGTATTCATTCCTTAAGTTGGTCAACATTATAGTACTACTTTGCAAACCATAGATGCATATATATATATATATATATATATATATATAAAGGATTGATGACTAACCCAATCCAAGAGTGATAGATCAAGTGTATCTGCCAATAGTTCTATTCCCCAGGTCTCCTCATTCCACAGTGCTTCTTCCCTTGAGCTTGAGAAAGGATATGCCGAGCTTCCCCAAATCCACATCATATTTATTGCATTCAGGTTCACAACCTTCCCTAGCGGATCCAGCACTACGAGAACAGGCTTCTTTTGGAAAAGCCATACTTCTTTAATGTACCTGATGGTTGCTGGCTCCAAAAGCGAAGGGTCATAAAGAGAGTACCATGACATCATTGATTGCAACTTCTCAAACTTTGGTTTCACTTCAGTCCATGGGATTGCCTTATCCACAACTGGAATCCAAACGAGTTCGTATTGACTCTCAAACCTGGTTGAATCCGGACGTGACTCTAGATACATTTGCTCAAGAATCACAAGCTCTTGCTCAGAGACATTATTGGGGTCTGACATGTAGAGTAATACAATTTTCTTCCTTAACGCCTCAATGCTAACCTGAAGACAACATGCTGAAGGTGAGAACAGGAATACCATGTGTAAATAACATTATTCCCTGATTGAATCACTTACTAATTTCATCAAACTAGAAATATGATTGTGAATCATTGCTTAGTTAATTCAAATTGATGTTGTAAGATTGCATTTATATCAATCCTAGTAAGTCTTCACTAAAAATCTAACTAATGACCGTATATGATCACATATGCATAAATATTAAGAGTTAGAGGAAGAAAGAACAGATTTTGGGTTAACCCTTTGCTTTGTAGAACCATCAAACAGTGGCAAAAGATCATCTTTGCTGCAAATCAAAGCTTTGAGAACCTTCAAGTTATCCCGGTGGGATGTCTCAAAAAGGACCCGAAGTGATTCAAATGCTTCTCTCTGTTTGTTGTCATCTGCATCATGACATTCCCAGGCATAGAGATTAGAGACATTTTACACAAACAGAAGCCAGACAATGCTTCTTCCCCCATCTTCATATATTAAGTAACCGAGTAATTAGATTGCCTTACCTAAATGCTGATGACAAAGTGCGAGTTGCTTTCGAAGGTGACTACTTATGTTAACAAGTTTATGGGCCAAACTGGAAACCTCCCAACTCTCTGTTGTTAATGTTATATATCTAAAATCAACCCAATAAAGTTAATAATAATAATAAACAAGTCCGATTTATAGTTTGTTTACCAAATCATCAACACCATTTTAAACAAAAAATATGATTTCTTTTGGTATATATATATAAAAAAAGAAATTACTAAGGAAAGTTGTGATATTTATTGAATAAATATATCAAATCAATCCCTGAAAATGACTTATATTTGATTTCATCAACTAAAATAATATTTTTATAATTTCATGAATAAAATTTAATAATATTAATAATTCCGGGGACTGACTGAGTTTATTAGTGATTGTTAATATTTGTGACGAAGAATGGAGGCATCGTACCCCTGACCCTCGCCAGTTATGCCCAAAATATGCGATGCACAGGCCACAACACTCCGAATGGTCCAATAGACAGCACCAGGAATAAGAGTGGAGGCAGTCAAAGTCTCTGGTGCATCAGGGTCAATGTACTGAGAAGGAAGCTCATGGAACTGAACAATGCAATTGGTTACTTCCATTATTGCCTTAAGAAGGTTGTTGACTGTTTCAAATTTTGGTCCCAAATCATCCACTTTTTCCAGTGTTTCATGAATGTGCTTCAACAGGGCAACCGACTTGGCAAGATGGTTGGTGGCATAAAGCTGAGCCACCAGCCAAAACTCCCCGAAGTTGGATGCAAATGCTGCTAATGCTATCACCACCTTGGCATCCCATGAATAGCTTGAGAGCGTGCCCAGTATTCCCATGGTTGTGGAATGGGCATCTCCACCACCCAAACACTTGCAACATATCTGACACAAGCATCAAAACATTAACATGTTCACCCTCCAAAAACTAGGAGTTAATTTTGTAAGGACTTATCAACATTATAGTAATAAATATTAATGAAAGATATTAACATCAACCTTAAAGACTCATGTTAAATAATAAAGTGTAGTAAATATTTTCTTTTTAGATGGTTATAGCATCTTTAAAGCTATAGATTTATTGAGGAAAAGAAAAAAGACTTTCTCATAGTAAGGTTGTGTTAAAATTGACATGAGAGGATTTATTTTCAAAGGTTACCTCGCATGAAATTTTGTTGATTGTTTGGTACGAGATATCTAGCATGTCAGTCAAGTCCGATAGGTGGGCACTGTCCATCGTGGCAACCGATTGTGCCTGTTGTCCATGGTTAAATTAAACGACCACATTTTAAGAAACCAAGTTAATTAGCGTGGGTTTGTTTAAATTATATTAAGAAGCATAATGCAAATGATTGGAGGAGGAGTGAAGCTATACCTGAACAGCACGGCGAAAAATGTCATGAACGAGATTAAGAAGAGGTCTAACGTTACTGTGTCCGCCAACAGGAGAATGAGTGGCACGAATATGTTTGGTCATTGTTGTGTCATCTAATGCTGAAAATATATGGCGAATAGCCCTTGTCTGCATCTTCATCTTCCGTGGCACCATTGCCATTTTCTTCAACAGATAATGTTTGTTTAGGTTTGGTTAGTGGTAGTCGATCTAGACTGCTACATCTTATATACTCATTCATGCCAAGTTCTGTTGAATCTCTACCTTGCTTCTATTTGGGTTCAAACCGCTTAAAGTAACAAAGCAGAGATTCCCATATTGGATAAAGGATTTCTCCACTTTATACCTTTCATCAGTTACGTACGCCTTTCTTTTTCACTTTTTTAATTGACCAATGAATTATATAATAATATATTATATAGTTTGTTATCTATTTAATAATAAATAATGATTTAAGTTAATTTATTAAATGTTACTTTTACAATTAGATAAATTTATACATAAGTGTATTTAGAGTTAGTAAATAAATTAAATTATCACTTCTATTTTAAAGCTAGCATACTTGTGTTTTCAAACGCATTTTATTTCTCTTTGTTTTGTACTATCTCACACCTTTGGAAGCGTTTGAATCAACAATCATTCTTTCCTTGCTGCTATTAAAAACTAAAATTAAAATTATCACGAGAATGAACCTCCTTTTCTTTCCTGAAAAAAGAAATAATATAGGTGTGTCTTAAATTTTTATGGTACTAAATTAATAACTTTAACATTGGTAACGTCTTAGGGTTTATTACCTTTAAAGTTAGATAAATTTAATTGAGATGTACGTAAGAATTATTCTTAAATATAAATTTTAAATTAAAACATGTCAAGGTAAAAATGTGATATTGGGAATAAAACAAACGTGTACCTAATCTATGCCAATGTAGTTTTACCATATGCACTTCTTACCTAACACGTTGCAAATATTATCAACACAAAGTAGAATAAAATATTTGTTGACCAAAACAAAGTAAAATAAATTCATAAAGACGAATCACAAGCCACGAGTTACTGCAAGAAAGGTATAATTTTTTTCCAACTTTTATGATGCGAAAGAATCATTACTGTGTTAAAAGTACGTAAATAATTCCAACTATTGGCCATTCTTTACAATCACTTTGACATTGACTGATAACATCTTGCAGGAATTTTAACAGCCGAACCAAAGCGTTTTAAATTTGTTTAAGTAAAATAAAATTTATTTGACAAAAAAATAATCTTTAAGCCAACAAAATTTACTTAGGTGAATTTAGTAAAAAAAATAATTTTTATTTAAGTCAAAAAATTTATTTAAGTCAAAATTATAATTTTTTTTCTCTTTAAACCACAAAAAATTGAAAAATATTTATACAAGATTATGTCACCACTCATACCACAAAAACTTAAATATTTCAAAATATATAATAATGTAACTATTTCTCAAAATTATTATTCATATAATCTTTATTATTATTCTCAACAATTTAACTTGATTCATATCTCACAAATATTTAGAACAAATAGTACATTAGATAAACTTTTATTTTTTATCAATGATTACCTAGTTATTAAAAATCCTTACATATATCATTCTACCAAATATTTTAAATGTATTAGTGAGTGTGCTACTTGAGCTAAAAATTAGTGAGATAAAACTATTTGCAATTAAGTTTAATTGTTGAGAATAATAAGAATGATTATAAATTAAATTAAGTTTTTGCTTAAGCAAATTTTGTTGGCTTAAGCAAAAATCACTTTTTGTCAATTTTGCTTAAGTAATTTAAATTGCAGGCTATAGCTTCCTCTAAAACTGTAGAAATTTTGGATCATAAAAAATCTATTGTCATCTATGATTCTGTGAAAGAAAAAAAAATTTACATTTAAAGTGAGCATTTTTTTTATTTTATAAAATATTTTTAACGTGTATGTAATTTAAAAAACTGTTGAAGTTTAAAACGTAATAACTCCAACTCACACTCACTCTCAACTTGACAAGTTTACGAGGAACTAAAATTCATACTTGTATTCATATCCTTTAATGGGTGTACAAAAGGGACTTATATAAGATTGTAATCAACCACCTATTTCCTCCCATTCTAACAACCTGCGCTAACATATGACAGTTATAATGGTTTTTGACAATTAATTTCTAATTTTTTTCCTAATTCGTCCCTGAATATTTAATCTGTTACAATTGTCCCCCCTTCAAAATAGGACTTGTCCGCAAGTCCTATGACTAATAATGCCAATTGAACTCTGGAAATTGCCGCTTCATGCTAAATAATTCTCTCCATTCAGCATCCTTTGGAGTCGTGTCCTTCCATTGTATTAAGACCTCCGTAACCGCTTTATGCCCTTTCTTTTTCATTCTTCTGTCCAAGACTGCCAACGGTTGTGCCTGATACTCGCCATTTGCATTGAATACTGGCAGCTGAGGTGAAACCAAATGTTGTCCATGGTGTTTCTTTAATAAAGACACATGGAAAACATCATGAATCTTTGTTCCTTGTGGTAGTTCCAATTTGTAAGCTACTTTCCCAATTCTTTCTAGAATCTGAAATGGGCCATAGTAACGTGCAGCAAGTTTGTGGAAAGGAGTGTTGGCCAATGTGTGTTGTCTAAAGGGTTGGATCTTTAAGTATACCAAATCTCCCTTCTAGAATTCCTTGTCAATTCGTTTCTGATCTGCAAATTTCTTCATTCTGTCCTGTGCCTTCCATAAATTGATGTGCAGCAACTGTCTGATCTGTTCTCTTGTTTTTATCGTATAAGTCACAGCTTCCACCATGGAGTCGTCCTTTATCACCACATTTGGACTAGCAGGAGGATAATCGTATAAAGCTTCAAATGGTGTCATCCTAGTTGCTAAATGGAACTTGGTATTATACCAAAGTTCAGCCAAGGACAAGAAGGTCACCCATTTCTGAGGCATGTCTCCTGTCACACACCTTAAATATGCTTCCAAAGATTTATTCAAAGCCTCAGTTTGTCCATCTGTTTGGGGATGGAAAGCTGTTGATTTTAAAAGCTTCACTCCATGTAATTTCATGAGCTCATTCCAGAATTTACTCATAAATATAGTATCCCGATCAGAAATTATCTCATTTGTCCATCCATGTAATTTCACCACATTATCTATAAAGATCTCAGCTACCTTGGCAGCTCCAAATGGATGAGATAGGGACATGAAATGAGCATATTTGGTTAATCTATCAATGACCACAAGGATGACAGTCATACCATTGGATTTTGGTAGGCCAACGATGAAATCCATTGAGATGGACTTCCATGCTTGATCAGGTATAGGGAGTGGTTGTAGTAGACCTGCTGGCAGCTGCTGCATGGGTTTGTTTTGTTGGCAAGTCATGCATTGTTGAACCCACATCTTGACCTCTTTCTGTAACCCTTTCCAATGGAATTGTTCTTTAATTCTTCTGTAAGTAATTTCACTTCCTGAATGACCTCCGACTGGTGAATTGTGAAAATGTTGCAGAATTTTCTTCCGTAACTCAGGTGCATTGCCAACTACCAATTTTCCTTTCCGTCTGAAGAAGTCTCCATCATATGTGTAATGTTTGTAAGGTTGTTGAGTTAATCTAATTCTGTCAATAATCTTCTGTATCTTATGGTCTGCCTGCCATGACTCTTTCACCTCTTGCAGTAATTGAGATTGTATGACCAGAATTGCTGCTAAACAGGCTTTACTTCTATTCCTTGACAAGACATCAGCTACAATATTTTCTTTGCCTTTTTTATATTCAATGCTGAAGTCTAAGCCCATAAGTTTTTCCAATCCCCAATTCTGCATCAAAGTTGTCGGTGGCTGTTCCAACAGGTGTTTGAGAGCTTTTTGGTCAGTTTTGATGATGAAATGTTGGTCTAAAAAATAATGTTGCCATTTCTTTACTGCAAACAGAATGGCATAGAACTCCTTTTCGTAGGCTGACAAGTTGTGATATTTTGGTCCCATGGCTTTACTTATATAAGCTATAGGGTGTCCTTTTTGTAACAAGACTGCCCCTATACCTATACCGGAGGCATCAGTCTCCAATGTGAAAGGTTGACTGAAATCGGGTAAGGATAACACAGGTGCTGTAGTTAAGGCTTGTTTGAGCTTGTTGAATGATTCCTCAGCTTCCTCATTCCATTTGAACTTAGTGTCTTTTTGTAGAAATTTTGTTAATGGTGCAGCTATTTTTCCATAATTATAGATAAATCTTCTATAGTAGCCGGACAGGCCAAGAAACCCTCGTAATTCCTTTAAAGATGTAGGTCTGGTCCATTGCTGTACAGCCGTAATTTTCTGAAGATCAGGTTCCACTCCTTTGGAGGAAATAAGATGGCCTAAATAATCAATCTTCCTTTTTCCAAAACTGCATTTTTTAAAATTCAATGCTAGGCAATTGTGCTGTAAAATCTCCAACGTGATCTCTAAACATCGTAGATGGTCCTCCCAAGTCTTTGTGTAAACTAGAATGTCATCAAAGAAAACTAGGATGAATTTTCTCAAGTATTCTCTGAATATGTCATTCATCAAGTTCTGAAAAGTAGTTGGAGCATTGCTTAAGCCAAAAGGTAACACCACCCACTCATAGTGTCCACTATGAGTTCTAAATGCTGTTTTAGAAATGTCCTCCTCAGCCATTCTGACTTGATTATATCCACTCCTCAAGTCAAGTTTGGTGAAATAGCTTGCACCATGTAGCTCATCCAAGAGATCCTCTATTAAAGGCATAGGAAACTTGTTTTTGACAGTGATGGCATTTAGTTTTCTAAAGTCCGTACAGCACCTCCAAGAGCCATCCTTCTTCTTCACTAAAACCAAAGGAGATGCATAGTTGCTTGCACTGTCCCTAATGAATCCTGTGGAGAGTAATCCCTTAACTTGTCTCTCGATCTCCTCCTTTTGATTGTGTGGGTACCTGTAAGGCTTCAAACAAACAGGTGAATTACTTGTGAGGATTATTTTGTGGTCATATCGTCGCTTAGGAGGAAGCTCGGTTGGCTCCTTGAAAAGGTGGTGATACTGTTCCATTAGTTTTTGAAGTTCCTCATTTTGACTTTGAGATAATAGTGCTTCATTCTCAGGTGTAGGTAGATTAAAGAATGCAGACCCTTGTATAGCCAGTAACATTGTCTGGCCCTGGATTGTTTTCAATG